TGGTGAAATCCTTGAGTTGGATCCATGTGATGTGAGACATGAAGAAAGAAGATGGGCCTTGACGGCTTTATAGGATAGCCGGATCGAGACCCTTTGGTGATTTCGGAGCTCGCCGGAACGTCAATGGAGGCATGATGATCCCAGTTTTTTGAGCCTGAATGGTTGTTCATCCTTGACACCAAAGGCAGGGAAGATCCCAAGATCACTAAGATCCCACAAATATACCTTTGAAAGTTGGTCAGGAGCCTTTCAATCCGAGTGGATGAGCTGCACTTTCAACCTCCAATCCAAAGTCATCGTTCCGTAGAAGGATGGAATTCAAGTGTTGACCTTCGCAACCAAGTTCAGCGTTGATCATGTTGTACTTGGTCGTTTGCTGCCTTCAGTCTGACTCTGCCCCACTGTCGATGTAGAGCGCACTCCTGATGTTCAAGAGTCAGACCCGTTTCATCGATGTCCACCCTGCTTTGGTCAGGGCAGCGTCTCAAAGTCACTGATTCTTAAGACACATCCCGCCGGCCGTGGATTCCTTTGCCGCCAAAAAAGCGCTGAGTTGGTGGCTGATCAAACATGATTGATACTATGATTGATAAATCCCCCCCATACAAAGATGATTTTCATGGCTCATAAAAATATCCGCCCATCCGGTCTGCTCGGCACAGATGCAAATAGCACATGGCGGCAGCGACGTCTTTGCCTTGGACAGTGACGATTGACTCGAGCCTCGAGCTAGACGAACTAGACGCCCCTACGAAAAGCACCTCACCAGCACCTTTTCCAGACTTCATGAACATCTCCCCAAGGATTATATACGCCCCTTTCACTGGTCTTGGAACGATTCTTCGGGCGAGCCAGCGTCATCCTGGCCAACAAGAATGGGCAACCCAACAAGTTCTGGTCCTCTCAATGCTTTATTCGTCGCTCTAAGAGGATAAACCTTCATGCCGATGAGGGTAGAAAGCCCAGTGAGTCCTCGAAAAAATGCCCCCCCCCCCCCACGGGGGACACTTCAAGGATCTTCAAGGGCTTAGATTCATTGGGGGAGTTGGTCCACTAGCAGATGTATGGCATCTCAAGGGTCACTATAGAGCCATGGGAAATGCCGAGTTGGGTGGGAACTTGTGCCATTCTTGGGGCCAATTCCTGAAAAATCCCAGCAACACCTCCACCCCACCACCCAGCACGCTCCATCCATCGCACCAGGTTATAACCTGCCAGCCGGTTCCTGATCCCAGGGTCTTCCCTCCGGGTGTCTCCCAACACCTCCGCCGCGGTCCGTCGACCCACGACCCAGCACCCGAGACCGTCCGCGGGGCGCGCGCGGGAAGGGTCGTTTCTCGGGTGGGTCAAGGGGCACATCTTGATCTGTTGCGGCCAGATGAGGTCCACCTCATCCGAGTTGTGCAGCAATTCAAAGCACGCGCCGCCTTCACCTGAGGTCGGGACTGGAGGAGAGGACGGGAGTGATGGTGACGGTGACGGAGGACGGGTGTTCAAAGAATCGCCCGTGGCTGTCGAGGTGGAGTGAGTGATGACGCAGAACTGACTTTAGTTGGAGGAACCGGAGAACTGGGTTTTCTGAAGAACGCCAGTGGCTGTTGATGTGTGAGATCCTGCGAAAGAGAGTCTGTGTACTTCCAGGTTTCTCCCAAGAAGTTCACCAATAGTACACATTGAAGTTACACTTCGAAGTTCAGGCAAAAATAAACGAATCCCCGTCCAGGTTTGTGTAGATGGCCTATGCTTGTTCCACTTGAAGGTATAAAGGCTTAAAGGCTCATCATCGCCAGGTCGCAAAATTCGGTAATGATGCGCAAGGGAGGCATGTCGATGCAGACGCCATAGAATTTCACCAAGTTCTCATGCTGCACCTGGACCGCGGGACGGCTCGGACACCAGAAAAAACGTTGACAGCTCGCTGCGTCCCATGTTTCAAACCATCTTCCTTCCTCATATGGTGAGTCAAACCCTCCCCCACCAAACCTCAAAAAAGGGAATCGATGCATTTGATCCCTGCTCAACTGGGTGCCCAGGTGTATTGCTGACCTGCCAAGATGGTCTCCACAGTCGACTGTATCGACTTCATGCCACCTCTGAACACCGCGATTGAATTCCCCCCCTGGCGCTTCCTCGCTCGACTTCCTCGCCTCGCCTCTCGATTCCAAACCGTTTCTGATCCCCTAGGGCTCCTGGCCCACCTGCTGAGAAGATGCCAGGGGTGGGTGCCAGGGGGGTCTAACCACCTCCTGAGGATATGGGCCAGGAGCCCAAACGGGATCAACCGGAACCGACGAAACCGATACACCACCGAAGCCGGTCTGACCCCTCGCTCGACCGGTCTTAGGACCAGGAGACCCGGACCCTCGAGCCCGGTCGGAGAAGTCGGAGCGACAGGCCCGACCTGGGTGAGGATGTGCATCTCCCGGGCGAAGGCCAATTGCTCGTCCGGGCGGATGGCGCTGCGCTCCGTGATGGCCTTGATGGCCACCACCTGCGTCTTCGGTCGAGCTCTTCGGTCGAAATGAGAAGTTCAGATGTGGCTCGTTTATGCGCGTGGTTTTCGTTTCAAGTTCAAGACTGGAGCCAGTGATTTTGGAGGGCGAACAGATGCGAAGATTGTGGTTTCGGGGCATTCAGATCTGCGATTACAACCCTCGATGTTCACTATTTCTATAAATGAACACTTGTATACCAAAATGAGAAGTGATCAAGTGATCTCCTAGTCATGCCATGTAGAACAGCTCTTCTTCCCCATCCCAAATTGGTCCTCTTCCTTTTCCTCTCCCTTCCTTAGGACCCTTCCGTTTCCCGCACCTGGCCGATGCGCGTCCAGTGGCCTTGATAGACCTCACTGGTGACCCCTGAGCCGATGCACTTGGTGGCAATGAGCTCGCAGCTGGGAATCTCAATCTCCTCATCCACGTTGAAGCCTTGCTGACCACAGGTCCACGCACCGGGTAAAAGTCACCGCAGGTGTCCAGGTTGGGGCACCCCGAAAACGGGCTCTAATTGGTTGTTGAAGCTTTAGGATGCTTGATTGTCTGGCTGTTTATTTTTCCAGCTGGGAAAACCTCAATCTCATTTTGGCTCGCTTGGGATGTTTATGGTGTTTTGTTTTGGGGGCGTTCTTTCTTTGATGTTTCTTTTTGGGGGGCTAAGCGTTCGGCAGAGGAGGGAATGACGAAACATTTAGAAACCACACAGTCCAACAAAAGAAGTACGCTGGGGCATGAAGATTGAACGCCCGAACGCGATGAGGAGGCGCCGTTCGACAAAGGGCACTGTCATCCATGACCTGAAATCCTACCCAACTTAGCCATAAACCAACTAAATTCATCCACTTACAATCAGGGTGTTCGCTTCGATGATAAGTCAGGAATCCCCTCTTTGGATGGTGTTCCCACACGAGAGCAACACGAAACGGAACCTATAGACCTATCGAAGGTGCCGCGCTTCTCTAGTGGGAGCAGTAGACTTTCTACTCAGGGGGCACCCAACAACGCAAACAGAAACTCCTTGTTCGGTCCCAGTTTTCCACGCCTTCAGTGTTCTCAGTTCTTCGAAGTTGAAGTTGTTCCAGTGACACGCCAAAAACCGAAACGAGTCTTAGAGGTCTTTTCCATGCCGTTGTCTGGAAAGAGAGAGCAAAAGCTCCAAAGAAGAGCCCCAGGGCAGTGTGGTTTCAGTGTCCCAAACCCGTCGAGTTGCTCATGGCGCCCACCCCGACCCTCGGCTTCGCTAACCGCGAGGTCGACGTGTTGTCCACAGTGCTCGAGCTAAAGTGCTGCAGCCCGAAAGCGGGCACGGGCACGGCGCGGGGAACGTGTGGTGGGCTCCCAGTTTCTGCAACCGCTCGGGCTTCGTGCGGTTTGTTGAGACTTCAAAGACATGGCCTCCTGAAGTCCTGAAGCGGTTTTGTTTCTTGGAGATTTGAGCTTGGGGTGTCCTCTCACTCGCAAGAAAAACGATCAACATGTCAACTTGGGATGAAGTAAATTTTCCCAAAGCGTTTGGTCCAGTCTTGTTCCCTGCACTACTGGCCACCTTTAACAAATAGTCAAACAACTTATGGCTATTTCTGGCTCATTCTTCAGCAGCGTATTGTTTCGGGTACCCACAACCCCTCCAATTAGTTTGGTCCACCTGTCTGTGTTTTTCGTTTAATTCACCTATCCGACTTATCCCTCATCCCACGGTCCCATAGCCGTTTCACCCTTTCACTCCCGTTCTCAAACCTTACTTGACCCCAAAAAACCTGTTGAAGGGCCGGGGGACTCCTCCACATTCTTTGGGGCGTGGGTCTCCACATGGTTTGATCCCAGAACCTTCTAGACTCTAGACAGACGACTGACTAGAGACCCTTCTGGAAGGGGTTCATCCAGCCTAGAAACATGGCGCTGAACTCGACCGGGTTGTTCTTTCTTGGTATCTGTTTCACCACACCTCTTTCGCCCCAAGGGGCTTCAGAACCTCCTCATAGATCCTCATCCCCCAATCAGCTGCTACGACCCGTTCGTGCGACGAGACGACCCGACCCGAGCGGTCCAAACCGCCTGGTCCTTTGGGGGGATCCTGCTTGGGTGGTCTCCGGGTATCTACGGAGCAAAACCAACCAGTAGCAAAAGGCCAACAGATGGTGGTGCCCCTCATCCAAATCGCTAACTTCATTGAGCAGGCTGCCCATTCAGACTCGAAAGTAACTAATATGCCAGAAGGGTGTGGAAGGGTGTTTGTTTGGCTGTCTCAATCTTCCTAAACAAGTGGATGCTTATGTCCCATCGCTCCAGCTCCCACCTGGTCTCCCAGAAAAACTTCATCCAAACCGCTTGCCTTCATCTTTAAGCTTTGATCCCTCTTTTGGCTTCACCGCCTCTTGAACATGGTTACTTAACTTCTCTCCCTCACTCCCTCCCCACAAAAACAGAAGAAACCACCCCAAACCGACCCACCCCTCCACCGGTCACTTCACACCGTCCCCCCGTCCACTGGGACCGCCCGGCCAGGTTCCCCGAGTCGGAGGAGGCGTTGGCGATGACCAGCGCCGCCGCGCGGCGGATGTCGATGTTCTCCTCCGAGTTCACGATCCTCCAGGAGACCGCGCGCGCGCGCGCGGTCGGGGCGTCCGCGGACCGGCGGTCGAGCCGTTACGGTTGCGGAGGGGGGGAAGACCGGAAGGCGGAAGAGGGGCGGGGGGAGACCGGCGGCTGGCGGGAAGAGCGGAGGTTTGGAGGGGCGGAGGCCGGCGAATTGGGGTTGGTTCGCTACGGGCTGTTTTTGGTTGTTGGTTTGGATTCATTCGATTTGGAGTCCTATGGACATTGAACATCAAAAAGGGGCATGTTCCGAAATAGTAATTCGCCTCCGGCCATTGCTAGGTGGAAAGTGGTTGATTTCAGGATGGCCCGATTGAATGACACACACTCGGATGGTACCCGGAATCACATGTCATCGGTGTCATCATGTCCACCACAAAAGTTTGATGACACACCAAGAGCCTGTCTTTGGGATTGAGGAAAAGGCTGTTCATGCCAAAGGACCCACACCAAGAAGTGTCTATAAATAGCCGGCTTACTAGTGCAGATTCGGGGTGTCCCAAAACCACCGGGCGATCGAAAGGAAGGTCCTGGTGGTGGTGGAAGGTCAAACAGAATCAAAACCAAATATCCTTTGGAGTCGAAACTCGAAACAAAAGAATCCCGCAATCAATGGATCCCGGGCGCATCCGAGCAGGCTTCATCTCTGTGAACCCGCGAGCAGGGGAACCCTTCACATCCCTTCACTCAGCGCCGGACTCAGACTCGGTGGGTCCCAAGAGGTGGCGCTTCCCAGGATCGAAGCGTTCTTCTTTGAGGGAACAAGAAGGGTAGCACACTAGCACACTGATTGGGTGGTTACCCACCCAATCCGTGTGCTATCATGTGCTAGTATTAGAACATATTAGGACATCTTCCTTTTAGGTAATCGACTTGAGTCTTTCCTGTGCCAGAGGAACCATTGGACGATATTGCCAGCTGTTAAAGCATGAATCTGCACCACCAGGGTCGTCACCATGGCAGGCCTTCTGATCATCCGATGCCAAACCCGTGGAGACCGCACCGCACCGCTTGTCGCAGGGCCCCTATGGGAGGTCGAACGGAAGTCCGAACGAAATCGATCCGAAAGATCCAAAGGAGTCTGTCAAGGAGTGTCTAGACTCTCGCTTCAGCAGGGCTGAAGGCCCGAACCACCGCCCGGACCACGGAACCCCCCCAACAAAAAAACCGTCCCCCTTCCTTCACCTTCTGACCCACCGCCCCAAACCCCTTCCCACGGGCTAGGTTCACCCGTCAGAAGGAAGCACGAACCCCAACGGACTCTGACCGGTCGAGGGGTGGCCCAAGCGGCAAGAACATCAGGTCAATGATGTCGCTGGTCTCACCATCCGGCCGCGGTGCGACCGCGAGAGGTGGGTCCGCGAGAGGTGGGTGGCACAGTGGCGAGGCTGGGAGGTGGACAAAGGACATCGTGGAAACCGTGGTTCGGACATGCTATAGAGCATATATATAGGGTACCCTCGGTTCGCAACACAATCGGACATGCATGGAGCATATGATACCTGGATCTTCCAACGATCATGCCAAATTGTCAGCCTTTCCATCCATAAAACCAGCCCAGTTAGGCAGAAGTTTTGGCATGTCGTTGGAAGATCTAGGGTATACGCTTCATTCTTTTTTCTTGGGGCAAAGGCATCTATAGTTGCTGCCCCCGGAAGCTCGTCTGCCCCTTGATGACGACGGTTCGAACAGTCCAAAGGAACCCGTTTGACATCTTGGATTGCTTCAGGAACCGGCAAAGAATAAAATGGCTCCCCACACCACAGAGGATTCACCCACAGAAAGTCAAGAATCGCCCTAAAGCAAATCCAGGAGATGCGTCCGGTGTTCCTTAACCTGTCTCAAGTGTTTCCAACCACCGCATGGGGGGACCTCTTGGAACCTCGGAGGCGTGAACCTTGGGGGAAATTCGGGTCACGACTGGGAGAGACGACTGGCAGCAATGTCGGTGGTTCCAACTCGCTTGAAAAACACCATGAGACAAGAAACCACCACCTACATACACCACCTACATCCACCTGTAACCACCTACATCCAACTCACTGGTTTCAGATCACTGTAAAAGGTTGAAAAAGAGATCTGAAACCACCCACCCAGATTGGGATGCTGATGTGAACACAGAGCGGACCTCCCAGACCACCTACCAGCTTTGATGGCCGTCTCATCCCTCTCATCTGCTCGCTCCCAGAAAGCTCCCCCAGCTACGCCTGAAGTTCCATGAAATGGAACACCTGAACACCTTCCCTTGCCAAATGCGGACGCCACTCCTCATTTCTATCACCCTAGAAGCAGAAAATCCAGGAGCTGGGATGAGTTGGGAGGGTATGAGGGCTCCTCCACCCAGTAGAACTATGACTTCAGGTTTGACGACGGAAGTGGAAAACACCGTCAACAACCCAAGAAGATCACTTCTATGTGTCTTCGATTTGTTCATCAGGGGAACAAAAAGATTTCCATGTTTGCTCAATGTAGGGTGTGAAAACAATACAGAACTACAACCACTTGAATGACTGGAATGACGATGAGAAGGCACCATGCTTGATGAGATGAGATCCAGTTTCAGTGGATTCTGCACACCGAATCGGTAAGCCCTGGCAGCGTTCCAAAAAACCGCCAACCCTACCAAATACGTATACAGCATGTACATTGAGTGAGATTTGTTTGTTTCTGACGTAAGAAAAAAATCATCAAGACTCATCCCAGGTCTACTTCGGGCATGTGCCCAAAACAAACGGTCCCCACGCCTTCAACCACCCACCAGTCACATATATATCCTACCTCCACATATATGGCACCGGACCCATGTTCGGTCCATCTCCACCGAAGTCACTGTGGGTGTGGTCGGATGCGTGGCACACACCTGGACGGAACGGTTCGCTCACTCGCTCCCTCGGCACGACTCGGCGTCGGCGAGAGGCGAGTGGGGACGTGGGTGGGAATCAACAGGTCGGGTGGTGAAAAGACTCCAAGGTCGGTGTGTTGCTCTGCATGGCTTGAATTGTTTGCTCATACCAAACCATGTGGAAACAACACCAAACCTATACCAAATAGCACATCCACTCTGAGACTGGATCATGAGTGTATCCCGATCCTCCAACTCCGTGGGGTTGCTGCAGAACGGCGACAAATCTGCTGCAGAACGAGGTCCCCCCGGGTGGATGGCCGCGGAACCAGGGTGGACGGCCGCACGGTTGGCTTTGTACACTCCGCGAGCGTGTGGAACAGGTGGGTGTGGATTGAAGATGATTGAAGTACTCCAAAACTCCCTGGTCGGCGAGGAGTTCGACTGACAGAAACCTCATTTGTGGATGGACCACGACGACGACCACGATTTCTGCTATAGCTGGTGTAGTGGGTGGGGGTTTTGGGAGACGGCGTCAAGCTTACCGGGACGTGTTCAGAGCTTGTATTGCCCTTAATATGCCCTGATTTTGAGGTTGCACTGATTGGGGTCTCCGAAGGAAAATACACACCCACAATCCCCCATTGAACATGTGAACTGTAGAGCAACTAGTAAACAAGAACTGATGTGTTTGCTCATAACTCATCCATCATGAACGTCCAAGGCACCGAGTCCAACCCCTTTCGGAACCCTTCAAATCGTCCAAGAACACCCACTCAACTGGGCAGAAGGAACCCCAACCATTAGACCATCTTTCGCAGCGCCTATTGATGAAAATGCTGAACTGAACTAAACCGATTCACCCACCTCACCCTTGTTGTGGATCGGTCTTCTCTAAGCTCGGTGTGTTTGCGGACGGTCTTTCTCCCAGCCACTGCTGCCATCATCTGCAGCGCATTGGTGCGCCTCATCCGCCGCGCATGCAGCGCGTGAAGGCGACGCGGCCCACGTGAAGGGGGGCGAAGCTCGAGAAGTGCACCCGAGTGCACCGCGAAGATCCTCCCTCATCATGGAGACAAAGCCATGTTTGGAACATGAAAGGGTGCCTGAAAGGATGATGGCGTGATGGTTACAGCGATGGCATGGCCCCCATTTTCGGATGAATTCCAAACACCGCACAGTTGACTGTTGACCGAAAAAAACGATTTCCACGACTTGCATGACTATTTCAGGGAGGAAAATCAATAGGTCACGTCACCCAGCCACGGCCACCTCTTCAGGTCTCCCCCGTCCTTGGACCGCCCGGCCGGGCACCAATGCCCCCCCTAAGGCCGGGCATCCCTGCATCCCGATACTCAAACGTTGCGTCAGCGCAATGGGACACACGTTCGCCATGGCCTCAGGCGACCCCGCGGTTTCAGGGGGCAAGTCGGTCTGAAGAGAGACGGTCTGGGCGAGTACAGCAAGTGCAGCCACAGGTCCAGGACGTCGAAAGCAGAAACAAATGGATGTTTGCGCCAAGCAGTTTGTGAAACAAGAAAAGAGGACCCGTAACAGTCCCGCAGTTCTTTTTTGCCTTCAAAAGGCTTCAAACAACCCCCTGCTTCTTGTTGGGACTGGCTTTCCAGATGTTCCCTTGAGGGGCCATCCCTTCATGGTTGTCAACGACCAGCATCTGGACCATCTGTTCTAGGTGCGATTCTCAGTTTTCCACAGTTTGGGGTCCTTTGGCCTCTATTTCCTGGAGGCAAGTTTCAAGAAAATAAGTTCCACGACTTCATGAATGTCACGAGAACTGCCCCTGCGCAGCATAGGTTTCTGCAGATGAGGGCAAAGTGCCATCGCTGCAAACAACGAAGCAGCCTCCGAACATGATTGCGGAAAAGATCCTCTACAGAACTGTCGCAATCCCGATTTGAATCCCGATTTGGCCTTGTGATTACAATCCCTACCTCAAGAGTTCACCCCCGAAGAAGTTCCCGGGCTCAGAGCCCGAAGAGTTGGAGAACCCTCTAACAAATAACAGCGCCCAAGGATCCTTCGAGCACGAACATGGAATTGCAAAAACGGAAACTTCACCCCTAGTTTCCAAATGCCCATGTATGTTTGTATGTTTGTATGTATGTATGCATGCATGTATGTGTGTATGTAAGTATGTGTATGTATGTATGTATGTATGTATGTATGTAATGTAATGTAATGTAATGTAATGTAATGTATGTATGTATGTACCTGAATCTTCCTAGGGCTGCACTTTTTGCGCCTCCAACCTAGAAGGCGCCTCTAGGAACTGAGAGGCAAGTTTTTGGCAAGAGGCGATTCTTGTTTTACAATGTTTTACATAGATTTCTCCCCAGTTATGTTGATAGAACATATGATAACCGTGATAACAATGAAACTTATACACTTAACATATAGGAAAAACAGCCACAAACCCCGAACCATGAACCAAAACATAGGTTATATGCATTCAAAAGGTTCAAGCACGATAAAAACGTGAAACACATGAAGGCATGATAACTCACTGTGGAAAAGTGAGCGCACAACATTATATATGAACTGCTAATTTTCCACTTGGATTGGCCTGCAAAAAATGACCCCCACAAGTCCGGCTTTCCCCTTCAAAACCTGCATTTCAGGCAGGTCGAACCGGACTTGTGGGGGTCTTTTTTGCATGGAACATTGCAAATATGAACATGATATCGCACAACTTGATAAACACACATGAAAACATGAAACACATGAAAGCCACATGAAAAAAAACTGAAACATATGAAAACCATGAAACATATGAAAGCCACATTAAAACATGAAAGCACAGGAGAGCCACATGAAACAAATAACACATGAAACATATGAAAAAACACAAAATACACGAAAAGCATGAAAGCACATGAAAAACATGAAACATAACATATGCAAAAACATGAAACACGTGAAACAATGAGAGGCGGAACTTCCCGGGTAAGAGGCGGAACTTCCCGGGTAAGAGGCAGAATTCCCAGGTTATGAATTTTTGGCATAGTCTTTAATTAAGTCGACTGGTTGCCGCTTTCAGGCTCGTCTCTAATCGAAAGGGGAAATGGCGTATCAGCTTCCATCCCGTGTCTTTTCGAGTTCGACCCTGATGGCTGGTTTGACGTTAGTGAAAGAAGAGAAATATGTGGACAAACTTGATGGTGACGATGCAACCCTGATGTCAGAGCTGCAACAAACGCAGGTGGGGCTGTTCGTTTCTATAATCTATATATAGGTATTGATACTCACCTCTAGTCAGCGTTTTGGTCTGAACATTTCCTGGCTAAACATTTTAGCTTTGTTTTCTGCCGGTTGCAGGCGCTCAGGTTGCAAATCCAGCAACTGCCTACTCCTATGAACTCTGCCTTGAAAGACCTCCAAACGCCAAACACCTTGGAGAGTTACGTCTTGCCTGGTGATGAAACTCAAACGGCTGGTTTGGGTTTGGACGCAGTTGCTAGCAAGCACGATGAAACTCTGTTTGCTTGGGTTTGACCGATTATCTTTTATCATGTTGATAGCTGTCGGCAGCAACGGAAGACCACCAAAAACATTACAAATTACAAGATTCCCTTCTACCAGAAAAGCACGAGAGGCAGTTTTTGTTCTAAGCGGCAACTCTTGAATGGAGAGGCTAGCATTTGAGCCTCTCTGCTAAGAGGCTGAGAAAAGCAACCACCGGAGGTTTAAGGTATGTATGTATGTATGTATGTATGTATGCGTGCATGGATGGATGGATGGATGGATGTATGTATGTATGCATGTATGTATGTATGTAGGTATGTATGTATGCGCGCAACTATGTGTATGTAATTCTAAAACCTGAGATGCTTTAAATTCTGCAGGTCAAGGCTCTTCATGTGAGCATTTAGATGCGTGCGCTATCTTCTGGTTTCTTTCACATTTCCTTGATGTTCTGTTTTGTACTTTGATTCGGGTGTTCTTAGGTGTTTCTTTTGCGGTTTCGCTCTTGTCCTCAAAGACACTAATGTCCAGGGTAGGTTTCATGCGAAAGCTGTAAGCTACGTCAAAAGGTGGTCGAATATAACAGTTAAAATGCCTGGAAAGTGGGACCAAAGTAGAGATCATCAGAGAATAACTCCAACAATAAACATCGTGTGTTCTAAGGGAAACCTGAAAATGCAAAAAACGATGGCGTATACGAACACAAGCCACTAAGACACACAAACACACACATATGATTCTTTTCTGGTTGACTGAAGTTGACAAAATGACAGTGCATAAGCAAGCAACATATTTAAACAAAAAGAAACTCTGCCAACTGATCTTGCCGTATGCACGACAACTGTGTTGCGCAACACGCAAATACCAAGCCATTAAGATCCAAGACACATGCCAGAATTTATGGAAAGTTTTTGACAACCCAAAAATATCACCTAGCTTTGTCATAAACAAATACAAAACCTTTCGCTTTGTAGTTTTTGTTCCCCACCTGCAAGGTGAGGGTTGTTAGATTTTATCACAGCTGTTCTGCCTCCGCCTCCGCCTCCGCCTCCGCCTCCGCCTCCACCTCCACCTCCGCCTCCGCCGCCTCCTCGTCCTCCTCCTTCCTCCTTCCTCCTTGCTTCCTTCCTCGCCAATCTGCTTCGCCGATCTTGTCTGGCCAGCTCCGGATCGCAGTGTGCACCCCTGGACCTCAACCGCAAGGATCCCCTCGCAGTGTGCATCCCTGGACCTCAGCCGCAAGGATCCGATCGCAGTGGGCATCCCTGGACCTCAACCGCAAGGATCCGATCGCAGTGTGCACGCCTGGACCTCAACCGCAAGGATCCGATCGCAGTGTGCACCCCTGGACCTCAACCGCAAGGATCCGATCGCAGTGTGCACCGCTGGACCTCAACCGCAAGGATCCGATCGCAGTGTGCACCGCTGGACCTCAACCAGATAGTTTGCCAGATAAAACCCACAAACACACAATCACAAACACACGACCACAAACGCGCAACCAAAAACACACAACCACAAACACAATCACAAACTCACAATCACAAACACAATCACAAACACACAACTACAAACACAACTACAAAGACACAATCCCAAACACATAACCACAAACACAAAACCACAAACACACAACCACAACCACACAACCACAAACACACAATCACAGACACAATCACAAACACAATCACAAACACGCAACTACAAACACAA